AAATTTAGTTCTTGTGACTGAATTCCATTGAACCTCAGAGAACAAATTGGTTGCAACAAACTGAAGCTGTATTTCTGGCTGGGATGCCAGGCAGGGCAAGGAAGTTGAATTGGATGGAGCTGTCCCACCCCCACCCCACCCCCAGTGCTGCTGCCCTCTGCAAAGCAAGAATGTGCATGTGGCAGTAGCCTTGTCACTCCATAAAGTCACACAGGGTAGAGTATGGGAGTTAGGATTACTTACAGGGAATAAGCCCCACTGAACTAAACTGTAGAGGCATATCTATTTCCAATTAGACATAAATAGGATTGCACTGTCAATCAGAGTTAACTTCAGCTGAATGTTTGTTATGCAGGGTCTTGAGTATTTTGGTCCATTGGTAGCAAAATGCATTTGTTTATCTTTGAAAGTAAGATGAAAGGGTGGAATTACAAGAAAGAGGTCAAGCTTTATGCTATGACATTTGTGAGATATATCCTAAATGCAGCTATATTGGCTGTTATTGTGATGAAGACCGCGGGGGATACATAACCCTTTCTCTTGCACTATTTTTCTGAACAAGACTGGCATGTTGCTATCTCAGAGAGAGAATACAGGCATGATACAGACACTGGTATTTTGATTTTTAACCACTGAGGAACGTAACAGTTTGGACAGATGATTTGATCATGAAAATAGAGGGGAACACTAAGAACATCAAGTGATCCCTGCAGGATCAGACCATAGACCAATCCAGTTCATCATTCTGCTCTCAGAGTGGACAACAGAGCTGTGCGTTCTTTGTACTAAACAAAACATAATCAAACTGCTGTGCCAAGCTAATCCAAATCCCACAAAAAAAGCAGAATTCTGCAACCCGGAGAAACAATGCACGTTTGCTTGAGTCCTCTTATTTTGCATGTTTTGTGTTTTTGCTTTTTGCTTTAGCTAATCAGAAGGAATAGTAGCATACAGACCTAGCATCAAAAATATTTGTGGAAACCATGGGAAATACTGTTGTTTCAGCTGTACTGCTACTGCTACAGTAGCACAATCTCCTGTTTTCGTGCTGAAGGGGGGTGGGTAGCCTGTGTCTCTCCAGATGTTGTTTGCTTCCATACTGCATCAGCCCTAGCCAGTGCAGCAAAAAGCCAGGGATGATGAGAGTTATAGTTCAATAACATTTGGAGGAACTCCCATCCTTGTAACAGAGTATAGCTATTCAGAACAGTTTTGCAGTTTAGCCTTATTACATGCACCAGCATCAAACAGAAGAAACAGAGTGAGTTCTTCAGTATTTGTTTTTAAAGCAGACTTGCAACCACAGCCACTAAGCACATTTCAACAAACATTAGAACGTGGCTTTATTTATCCTGCTGCTCCAGTTTGATCTACTTTACAGAAAAGAAATGGTAGAAGCATGTTGTCGAGGCTTTGGAAATAAGTAGGGCAGCTGAAATGAGATTACAGAGGAAGAGTTTCTATCTATCTATCTATCTATCTATCTATCTATATCTATCTATTTATTTATTTATTTGATAAAGGATACCACACTCATTGTGCTGATCCTGTTTTGTTTTAATAGTTACACACAATGATAAAATTAAAAAATATATATCTCAAAAACGATTTTTGTCCAATGCTTTCCCACCATTTTAAAAAGTAAGGATCTTGACAAAAGAGATAATAATAAATAATAATAATAATAATAAATTTTATTTATATCCCGCCCTCCCCAGCCGAAGCCGGGCTCAGGGCAGCTAACAACACTAAAATAGTGCAACATTATAAAAACATTATAAATTATAAATTAATTAAAATCAAAATTGATGGCAACCATAACTAAAGTTTTGTAAAGATTGCCAAAGGAGGGAGTCAGGCTGCGCCCTAACCAAAGGCCTGGTGGAACAGCTCTGTCTTGCAGGCCTTGCGGAAAGATGTCAGGTCCCGCAGGACCCTGGTCTCTTGTGACAGAGTGTTCCACCAGATCGGAGCCACAGCCGAAAAAGCCCTGGCTCTAGTTGAGGCCAGCCTAACTTCTCTGTGGCCTGGGACCTTCAAGATGTTTTTATTTGAAGACCGTAAGTTTCTCTGTGGGGCATACCAGGAGAGGCGGTCCCGTAGGTACGAGGGTCCTAGGCCGTATAGGGCTTTGAAGGTTAAAACCAGCACCTTAAACCTGATCCTGTACTCCACCGGGAGCCAGTGCAGCTGGTATAGCACCGGATGAATGTGATCTCGCAGCGAAGACCCCATAAGGAGTCTCGCTGCGGCATTCTGCACCCGCTGGAGTTTCTGGGTCAGTCTCAAGGGCAGCCCCACGTAGAGCGAGTTACAATAATCCAGTCTGGAGGTGACCGTCGCGTGGATCACAGTGGCTAGGTCAGGGCGAGAGAGGTAAGGAGCCAACTGCTTAGCTTGGCGGAGATGAAAAATGCCGCCTTTGTTATAGCTGCAATCTGCGCCTCCATGGAGAGGGAGGTATCGAAGATTACACCCAAACTCTTAACGGACGGTGCTGGCACTAATTGCACCCCCGCAAGAAATGGGAGTTGTCCCCTCAATCCCATATCGTCCTGTCCCAGCCAGAGGACCTCTGTCTTCGAAGGATTTAACTTCAACCGGCTCCCACGTAACCATCCAGCCACAGCTTCCAAGCATCTGATCAGTGTGTCTGGGGCCGAGTCAGGATGGCCATCCATCAACAGATAGAGTTGGGTGTCATCAGCATACAGTGGTACCTCGCAAGACGAATGCCTCGCAAGACAAAAAACTCGCTAGACAAAAGGGGTTTTTTTTTTGTTTTTTGAGCTGCTTTGCAAGACGATTTTTGCTATGGGCTTGCTTCGCAAGACGGAAACGTCTTGCAAGTTTGTTTCCTTTTTCTTAACACCGTTAATACAGTTGCGACTTGACTTCGAGGAGCAACTCATAGAAAGCGGTGTGGTAGCCTTTTTTGAGGTTTTTAAAAACTTTGGTGATTTTTGAAGCTTTTCCAAAACTTTCCCGACACCGTGCTTCGCAAGACGAAAAAAATCGCAAGACGACAAAACTCGTGGAACGAATTTATTTCGTCTTGCGAGGCACCACTGTACTGATGGCAGCCCAGCCCAAAACTCCGGACAAGCTGGGCGAGGGGGCGCATAAAGATGTTAAAAAGCATCGGGGAGAGTATCGCACCCTGGGGCACTCCACACACCAAGGAGTGGCGGGATGATTCCCCCCCAAGCGCCACCCTCTGTCCCCGATCAGAGAGAAACGAGCGCAGCCATTGAAGGACTGTGCCCTGGATCCCCACGTCGGCAAGGCGGTGGTCCAGGAGTTCGTGATCGACCATGTCGAAGGCTGCTGACAGGTCTAGAAGAATCAGCAGCCCCAACCCGCTTCGATCCAACTGCCTGCAGAGATCATCTGTTAGGGCGACCAGAGCCGTCTCGGTCCCATGACCAGCGCGGAAGCCGGACTGGAATGGATCCAGAGCCGATGTTTCATCCAGAAACCTACCAAGCTGTTCAGCAACCGCTCTCTCAATCACCTTACCCAGGAATGGAAGATTCGAAACCGGGCAGTAATTGGATAGATCTAAGGGATCTAATGATGTTTTCTTTAAAAGCGGGCGCACCACTGCCTCCTTCAGTCCCCCTGGGAATGTCCCGGTGCCAAGGGACAAATGATGATATCCCCCAGGGGGGCCCGCACCTCGTCTGGACACGCTCTAATCAGCCAGGACGGGCACGGGTCGAGAGGACAAGTGGTGGGCTTTCCAGCTCGGAGGAGTCTGTCCACATTGGCTGGGGATATCCGGTCAAAGTGGTCCAATACTGGACCCGAGGACAGTCGAGGGGCCTCCAGTTCCTTTATTGTATCCAAATTGGCAGGGAGGTCATGGCGGAGCAACAGGACCTTCTCCGCAAAAAAAGCTCGCAAATGCCTCACAGCTGTGTGTCAATTGTTATTTAAATTTGGCTGTCCTTCGAGGGACGTTAAAGACCGAATTATACTAAATAATTGCGCCGGGCGAGAGCTAGCGGATGCAATGGAGGCCGAGAAGTAGGACTTCTTAGCGGACTTCACTGCCATCTCGTAGGTTTTCATAAAAGCCCTATAAGATGTTCTATAAGATAAAGGCAACTTCTGGAGAAAGTGGGTAAAATTGAGTGTTATCTCACAGATGACAGTCAGATGATGAGCCTCATTCACCGCCCCCCCTTAGAAGAAAAATCATAAAGGAAATTCAGAAGATCCTTTTGGCTACTACACTCCTATTAGAGAGACCCAAACAGTTGCACACACACACATAATAATAATGGCCTGTATCACCTTGCAGCTAACATGTTTATTGCAGCAGAAGCTTTTGTTGAGGAGAGAACCAACTTCATCAGAAGTTTGTCCACCCTGGAGTTTCATTTTTAATGTTTCTTTCAAAACTGGGAGAGGAAACCTGTGGCCCCTCCAGATGATGCTTTCTGAAAGCAATAGTTGTTTGACTGCGGATGATCTCCATCTGGAGGTTGCGGACTCTCCTTCCTTTGAGGTTTTTAAGGAGAAGTTGCATGGCCATCTGCGACGAACTCTTCAGTTGAGATTCACGCAGCGCAGGGGGTTGGAATGGATGACCCACGGGGTCCCTTCCGATTCTATGATTCTGCCACCTTAGTGCCACGTGCCCTCAAAGAACCCACGCGTTGGGCGCGCCGGGGAGAAAATTAGCCCAATTAGCGCTGAGCCAGCCTTCAACCAATGGGCGGCTGGCTGGGAACTGCCCTCCTGTACCAACCGGCTGCGCCAGCAGCCCTGACACGCGACGAAGGGAGGGCTGTGCCATCAGCTCGTCGCCAGCCAATCAGCGCGCCGAGGCTTGGCCGGAGAGCGATAATTTGTTTTGACCGCTCGCTGGCGCGCGCTCCCGTGGGAGATGTCCTCAGGCTTGTTCCTGGCGCAAAGGCGGGACTCCTCCGTCTTCGCCTGCCAGGTGCGCCGCGGGGATCCGCGCGCTGTGACGTGAGCGGGGAGGGCGGGGCCTCCGCTCGAGCCCCTGGCAGAGGGAGCGGGAGGTCAGGCGTCCTGAGGGAGCCCCTTGGGCGCGAAGGGGCGCGAAGGCGGGATTAAGCCGCAGAGGCGGCGGCGAGGCAGGCAGCCGCTCGGAGCATGGCAGAAAGGGAGCCGCGGGCGCTGGCTGACCCAGAACGCGGCAGGTGGACGAGACCTCCGAGGAGACGCCGCCGCCGCTGCTGACGAAGACTTGGGCGAAGCGGGAAGCGGCGAGCCAGAGCAGCCTCGGCAACGGGCGACGGAGCGCCGCGGAGAGGATGGCGCTGGAAAGCAGCAGCAGCAGCAGCGCGCACTGGATGGGCTCCCTGCCGTCCGCCCTCAGCGCCCTTCCTCTGGCCAATCTGGCCATCCCAGGTAAGACCCTGCTCTGCTTTGGGCTCCTCCAGGGTTTCCCGGCACCTGCTCCTTCCTGCCTTGCTTGTGTAGGGGAATCCAGCCGCATTACTAGGAAGGGGGTTTTGTTTGTTTTTTAAGTGGTGTAGCCTAGTGGTTAAGAGACTTAGCCGAACGAGTTAGGAAATCCCAGGGAAGCCACTCTCTATTTCAGCACCACCGCTCCAGTGGGATAACGCTGACTTCGCTTGTCGTAACGATTACAGGTGTATGCGGTGTTTTTCCCCCCCTTTAAAAAATTGTTTAGGGGGGCTCTGATTTTGACTCGAGAAAACCCCCATTTTATAGTTCGAATCGGGAAAAATAAATACAGTAAATGGACAAAAGTACCGTACAAAGATTCACAAATCTTTTGGGGGTATGCTCCCCCCTAGAAAACAACAACACTGGATGTATGTGATAATAGATCATAGAGTTGGAAGGGACCACAGGGGTCATCTGGTTCCAACCCCCTGCGATGCAGGAATCTTTTGTTCCACATGGGGCTCGAACCCACGACCCCCAGATAAAGTCTCATGGTCTGCCAACTGAGCTATGTTGGGTAATGTTTGTGAAACATTTTAATGTGTTGTACAAAATGTGAAGTATTAATACAGTTTTGCTGTTATTAGGCACTCGTGGAGTAAATCATCAGTCTTAAACCATACTATCACAATGAGGAAAATCAGATCTTAAATTGTACTGTTTTGGTGGGGTGACTAACACACAAACATATAGTTCTTCTGATTGCAGTTTTATTTATGATGTCTTTCCCTTCCTGTTTATGGGGTTTCAGATTTTATTGTTGATTTATTCTATGCTGTCAGTTAAATCAGGGATATTCACTGAAACAGGTTAGACATTCCATAGGCAACTAAAACATTTTGGAATACTATTGTTTCCCTAATGTATTTTCACCAATCTTCTGGCAAGGCAGAACAACAAAAAATGAAAGGCCTCTTTTGGATAGTACCCAAAAGCAAGGTTTGTGAGCAGAAGCTGCTCTTTTCAATTATTTTTTCTCAAGGAATGTGTGTGTGTGTGTGTGTGTGGTTATTTCAGAATACCAATCTGCAGCATAATTTCTGAGTTTTTGGAAACACACCAAAGTTATTAAAACCTCAAAAAATAAGGAAACAAGGTGCTTCTAGGGCTGCAGCATTAGGAAGTAGAGGAAAAAACCCTGGACTAGTTGCTTAGTGCTTGATCAAAGAAGCAGATGTCATTACGACTAGAAAGTGTTGACTCTGAAATATATGTATTGAGAAGAGCTTAGTTCCCTGGATCTGTTTTCCTCCTACATTTCAACCTCTTTGGTGCAGAGGTGTTCCATCCTCCCAATCACATATTCATTCGTTAAGTATCTGAGCACTAGTCAAAACAATCTGGCTCAAAACAATCTGGTGTCATTCAAGAAATGATCCTTTCTTTGTGGTTAAATCTGTGGTAACTAGTTGTCAGTGTCTTGCCGTTTAAGGGCATCCTCTAATCTTCCACCTGAAATGGACCACTTTACCAGTAACTTTTCTACCTGGTCACAGAATGGTTATTTACCATTTGTTCATTTTCATTTACAAATATATTCTGGTGAAACATCTCAAAAGTGGTTAGCAATTTAAAAAAAATCAAAAATAAAAGCTTTCTTGGACAAACAACAAAAAAGTCAAGTCCAGTACAGATACAGACTGTTGTTGTTGTTGTTGTTGTTGTTTTTTAACCTACCTAAATGGCTTGTTCCTCAGGTTCCCAAACCTGTATCCCCCTCAAACAGTGTCTGAATAAGTAAAGGCCTGTTCAAACACTCATACTAGTGCAGTAGTGAAGAAGCTTTCCAATGGGGACTACTAGCCACTGCTGTAGAACCATCAGTGGAGGCTGAATTCCCACCTGTATCTGTCATTGTTGGGGTTGCGTGTGTGATGAAGGCAACTCAGCTAAGCATTGGAAAGCAGAGATTTGCTGATTACCCCTTGCTCTGCAAGGTTTCCTGGCATTCTGGACTAGATTTTGATGTTGTGGGGAGGGGAGATGAAGGGGTGAGAAAGTTCCACTGCACAAGCGGAAGTCCACTTTAAAAGAGGACTTGGATACATCCCATCATTCCCCCCTGAGTCTCTGCTCCCTAAATAGCTTCCATGTCACTGCCCCAGTGAAAGTTGGAGTTATTTATGTGAAGGATTTAATGAGAAGATATGCACAAAACTTGACATTGGATTGCAGAGAATACTCATTCTTGGTACCACTGCCAAAGTCTTATCAAAAAGGTGATAGGGTCAAGCTGTTCTCTAAAGGGGTTTCCTGTGACCTAATATTTTGTTATTGAACTGAATTCAAATATCACAGATGCAGGCAACAAATTGACTATATATACTTGGTTTCTTCCAGGGGAGTAGGAGAGGAAACACATTTACATACATACTCATGTGCATATGTATTCTGCATGATACACTTCTCTGCCCAGTGCCCATAAAGGTGTGATAGAATAATATTTTCCCTTTTTTAAGATAAAGAGAATGGTGGTTGAACATTACTGTAAATGAGCCTGGTTAACCAGGATAAAATGTTCAGTACTGTCTCCGGCTTTAGGATGTAATCGGATAACTAGCTGAGGTCAAACAACATTCCCCAACACAGCCTAGGTAGACTGTGTATTATTGCAATTATAGACTTATTATTGAGGAAGGGTGATCTTTTCTTAGAAATATTCATAGTTGGTTTCTGCTAGAGACAGGATACCAGACTAGATGAATCATTGTTCTGCTGTAGTAATGACCATGTCTGTTCATCTCCCAGAACTGGCAAAGCACAGCTAGACACGACCTGGCATTTGGCTTGTCATGTTTTGCATTTGCAGGACACTTGTCAAACAAGGAATGTCGCAGTTCAGCAGAACTACAGCTTCAGCTCTGCTCTTCAAGATATTAATAAATCTATGAAAGGCCCTGTTGGGGCATAACAGTACAACTGCTCCAGTAAATGTCTGCTCATAATCCTCCATATGTTTCTTGATAAGGGATGGGGAGTGTATCCCTATTAAAACTAATCTCATTTTAATGTCTAGAGAGACTGAGGAGATATGAAAACATGCTTTGAATTTAGAGGTCGATTGGCTTATTGAAAGAACTTTCTCCAAACCTAGATCCTGCTACTGCATTTTCCAAAATGGCTCAACATCTAAAATTGACCATAAAACTGATAATTATAATGTTGCAAAAAAGAGGCTCTATTTATCAAAATTTGCAGATCTTCTATAATTCAGGGATAGCCAACATATATTGTTCAACTGCAACCCCCATCATCCCTGTTCAATGGCTAGATTGGTTGGGCTGATGGGAAGTGGAGTCCAATAATGTAGAGGGCACCACATCTACGCCAATCTAGTTCCTCTAGCTAGTTGTGAGAGGCCTTGTGTATGCTGCCAATGGAATAGAATGGGGAGAGATAAGAAGAGCTCCCTGGCTGTAGCATTCCAGAATTTCAGGCAGGATTCTTGCCAAGCCCTATGTGAAGACTCCAGGGATTGAACTAGGGACTGCATGCAAAGCAGTTGCTCTACCACTGAGCTATGGTGCTTCTCTTATCTGGGTTCAGGAGAAGCCATAGCTAACAGACTAGCCTTGGCTGGGCATAGGCACTTCTAGCCCCAGAGGCTCGAGAGGCTTCAGTTCTTTAGGACTTTGTCTTCAGTCAAAGCATATATGGAATGAAACATAGCTAGCAATGAGAACTTTTAGGTATGGCTTCCTTTAGTTATTAATGCTTACATCATAAATAGCCACGTGCCATAATGCTGATAATGAGTAATGCTCAAATGATTTCTACTGTTTATTCTAGTCATTCCATTGATGTGCCTTAACATAAAGATAACATGAGAAATTGTGAGCTGTGTGAATAAGTACAGTCTTTTTCCACTCCTGAATCTCCCAACATTCAGCTTCTTTGGCTCTTCTTGAGTTCTAGTATTATGGGGGGGGGGGACTTTTCTCTATCCACTTTCTCCAGATCATTCTGTATATCTCTGTTGTATCTCTTCTTATTCAAGTACGATTAATATTGGCTAACTCCCCATATCTCTAGTTTTCACAGCTGAATTATAACCAATTTCTTTTACTGGCTTTAGTCTCCCTCCTGGAAGTTAATACTAGCCAATATTTTGTTGTTGTTTTCTTTCTGCAGTAAGCATAGCATATCAGTTCACTCTGTGTGATGCTGTACATTGGTAAGTCACATTGAGTACTGAAATAATTTCCTATTACATCATGAGCCAGATACTTTGCAGCTTTTACACTAAGCAACTTAAGCCGTCTGTGTATCTATTTAACAGTGCAATCCTATGCATATCTACTCAGAAGTTAGTCCCATTGAGATCAATGGAGCTTACTCTCATTTAAGTGGGAATAGGACTTCAGCCTCAGTTACTTGTTGTAATTTTATCTGTCCTATGGTGTAATATGAATATGTTATAGTACTTGAAGTACCTTACAAAACTGATCATGCTGAAATTGCATGTTGTCTTCTGCTGAATATTAGTAATGAGTGGAAGGGATGCATCAAACCTTAATTATATTCCTCAGAAGTAGTTATGTATCCTAACATGTGTCAATTTAAAAACACTTGTTTCTTGATTAATGTTTGCTCAGTGAAATTGTGACAATATGGAATGGGAGAGCCATGTATTCTGAGCTGGAGCAATCAGCTCAAACCTCTACACATGTTGAGCTTCTCAGGTAGACTAGAGGTTGAATAGTAGGATTGATTATGCATTTTCTCCCAAGGTAAGGGGAAGTGACCTTGCTAAGCCTGGTATTAACCCATTCATACATTAGATTTAAGTATGTTGGTTATATGAGGCTGGTTATCGCACATGTTATGATTTAACAGTAAACAGTGGGACAACCCCCCACCCCCACCCCACTGCTCAGACCTGTACCTACAAATTATGAACCTGTGACTAGAAATCGTCACACCAACAGAAGCGTGGATGAACCCTGTGCAAGTGTAATCCCTGTGATGAAGAAGAGTTGATAGCAGTGTGCTGAATACGTAGGTGCTTGTTAAATCATTGAGTTTAATAGATGCTCATCCAAGCTTGCCATATGATTAAACAAGACACATGGGATTGGGTGATGGCACATACAAGGTTCCTATTCTTTAGCAGCAAGTTTACGAAGATGCAGGGAAATGATGACAAGCTATTGACTTGCCTTTTTCACTTTTCCTTAACTAGCATACGTCAGGAACAAATGTTTTACTTCCTTATAGCACATGACATTTTATGTCACGGGCTTCTAACATTCAAATTCATGGGCACCAGTATGTCTGTTTGCTAAGCCAAATTTCTAGCCACTTAGATGACAGCCATTTGGTGTCCTTTAACTTACCATTGTAAACAAGTAAACTCATTTTGGCAAGTTAGCTAGTTTAACTCATTCAGAATTGTTACACTAAGGTTTATATTGGTCAAATGCAATATAAATGGTGGATTTCTTGCAGGTGGTCCTGATTGGTTAGAATTGCTTGACGAGGCCCTGGGCCCTGAAGTTCCCCTCAGAAATAAACACACAGACATGAGCATGTTGGGTTAATGGGATAAATTAGGCCACAACTTTATTGGTTACAGATGTTAGCGGTTTGGCTTAGGCATTTGGGTGAAGCCAGACTACCGTATTTTTCGCTCTATAAGACACACCAGACCACAAGACGCACCTAGTTTTTGGAGGAGGAAAACAAGAAAAAAAATATTCTGAATCCCAGAAGCCAGAACAACAAGAGGGATCGCTGCACAGTGAAAGCAGCAATCCCTCTTACTGTTCTGGCTTCTGGGATAGCTGCGCAGCCTGCATTTGCTCCATAAGACGCACACACATTTCCCCTTACTTTTTAGGAGGGAAAAAGTGAGTCTTATAGAGCAAAAAATACGGTATATCCTGGCTCTCCTGCCCATCTGCAGGAAGTCTCTCAAGGGTCAACCACCTATAAGGGGGAGCCCTATGATATACATCAATTGAGAGCACCCCCAGGGTCACTGATGGGGTCATGGCATGGCCCTGTTAGGATATTTCCATTCCACCTTAAAAAGGGAGCAGGTTGTTGTGTCACAGCCTGCGTATTTCCTGTTAACAGGAAGTTTATGTTTTGTATATGCTTTCGTTCTCTCTCTGTGCCTGAACACACAAGGAGGCAGTCATGTTTTTTCTTTGTTCTGATCAACACTGAATAAAGTTGTAAATAATGCTCTCCTGAGTGTACCTTTCGTTGTACGAACTCCGCTGATAGAGCGTGCACGAGCTCTGGAATGTGGCAAGCTATTTCTTGAGGCTCGTGTCGCTAATTGACTGATACTGCGTTACTACGGGAGATTGATGGATCACAACGGAGACGGCGTGGGGGCATGATGGCCTTTGTCTCCCTGGCAGTATCCCAACAGGCCCTAGCCCACGCCCAGGCTTTGGACAGGAACCACACCCCCGGATCCCTTTAATGGGATACCCTTAATGAGGAGGGGCAGGCGGAGGCAACAACCTCCCCTCCCATAAACAAAGCTTATTCAATGCCTAACCACCACTCAAGCCAAAATGCTCGCCGCCAACAACCTCACCTGCAACCAACACCTAATGCCATCAACAATATCAGCCAGCCAAAAATCATTACCCTTATCAGAAAGGTAAACACCATTGTTACGAAACAAGGCCACCTAGTTGAACATAATAGCGGGATGCCGTATCACCCGGCCCTTCAAGAGCTGCACATTCTGTTCCACTGCACGATTAGCAATTCTCTTGGCCCTATTGATTGCCGCCAGATGGGGGCAATCCCGCCAACAACGCCTCTCCAAAGGCTGGGACCAGATTAACGTCAAGTCCGGGGTGTGTGACACTGCCGGGAGCCCTGATGACGTGGGCAGCACCCCTCTGCCCACTCCTGGGTCACTGCGAGGTCCCGGATGTCCACCAGCAATGGCTCACCTCTGGGGAAGGGGAGCGGTCTAATGACATCTTCTTCAGCCCCTCCAAAAAGCTCCCTTGTGTGTATCGATAGACCTAGCTCTGCTTTAAACAGAAGCTTGAGTAAAAGCATGGTTAATTATTTTGGGGAAATGGTGTGTGTGCTTGTATGAGGGCAATGAATAAGGTATTCTTTACAATTTCCTCAAAATAGTTTTGAACCAGCATGAATTAGTTCAAATAATAAAAAAATAAGTTGCTTTGGACTCCTTTCCATCTGTACCACATTTGTCTGAAGTTTAACAAATAGCAACAGGTTCTTTTAAATCTGTGTTTGATTGCTTAATTATTTGACTGCTTGCTCAACTAGAAAACCATAAATGACAATGATTATATGTTACCATTGCTTTTTACAAAATATTAAAATAACTCATCAAACATTTAAAATGTGTAATGCAGGATAAAACATAAGAAAGAGTGGCTTATGGTCCGAGTTTCAAGAATTATGTTTTCTGCACTGTTTTTCCAGTATTGGAACTAACTCCAGGAAAATGATGATCTGCTAGCTGCTGCCTTTAATCTCTGTGGCATCTGTTGAACTGTCCCTTCTCTCTTCCACCCTCTCCTCCCTTCCTTTCATCTCTCTGTGTGCATGCTGGATATTAGTTTCGCTGGGTTTTGACACAATTCTTTCCATGAGGATAGGTTCAGCTGTTTCTCTTCACAGCCTGCACTACGCCCTTCCGCTCTCGTCCCTACCTCAGCACTTAGCAAAATTATGATTCTTACAGCCTGTGGTCCTATGTCTATGACTGCACGTGTTTATTTCCCTACTTTGAATAATTTGCTGCATAAAAAGCTAAAAGTCTGTCTCATGCTTTTATAACCATTTCTGGGTTGCTGTTTTTCTTTTCTTTTAAAAACCAGTTTAATGTTTAATACACACTGATCTGCTCTTGGTGTAAACAGTTATTCTTATCAATTGCTGCTGCACACATTAATAATAGACTCATAAAATTGTAGAGTTGGAAGGGGCCCTGAGGACCATCTAGTTCAACCCCCTGCAATGCAGGAATATGCACCTTTCACATGCGGGGATTGAACCTGCAGTCTTGGCGTTATCAGTGCCACACTCTAACCAACCTAGCTGTCCACACCTATATTAGTCTTACTCTGGATGTGTTACGTCTTCATAGTAAACCAGGGATAGCTATCCCTTTTCAGCTTGAGGGGCCACTTTTCTCTGGGGGCTGCATAGCAGAGCGGTTATAGCCAAAAATGTGGTAAGGTCCACACTCTTATGCACATGTATTCACACACCATACACACAAACACACATACCACTTACACACTGTCACACACCCTAACCATGTTATTGTTTCATCCTGTTATGAAAAGTACTGACATCAAAAGATCTTGTCTGTGGTAGGCTTATTACTATGCGGAACTCCTTCAGTGAGATTATGCATGTGTCACCTGAGATAGCAGTTTTCAATAGCTATTGAAATCGCCCAAAAACTGAAGCTGTTATCTTGAGAGGGCTAAACCCTTTGACAGTGGTAACGAGGAAATTCCATCACAGACTTGCTTGTCATATATTTCTGGTGTTTGCAATTCCAGGATTTCAATTTGAGAGAGAGAATGTGGTGAGCATAAATTTGAAGAGGACAGGTGTTGATGGGCAAGTGTGCATTGATGAGACAAGGACGAAATATTTGAAGTGGGTGCTCACTGCTAATTTTCCACTTCCCCAAGTTAACATGTACATAGTTGAAATTACCTTTGCACCTTGATGATCATCAAGTAAAAGACAGAAGGCATTCCATGTTAAGCATTGGAATTAGAACAAAACTTGGTTAAATGGAAACATTGTTTAATGTTGCACAAGAGGCAACCTCTGACTTCTCTGACGTATGCTGCAATTCTGCCATCAGCATTTTCTATTCCACATTTTTCCTCCCTTGATTCAACAAAATAAAGATCCTGCAACACAGTGAAGACATTTGAAGATTCCATGCCACCTTATGTCACTTTTGGGGTAGGGCCTAGAATGCTGTTGCAATTGTCATTTCATTTACTCAAGCTGTGATTCATTTGTAATATATACTCATGGAAAGTAATAACCTTGCAATGTACTTGTACAATGTGGAACTGAACTCACAGAAGATTACAGATAATGACTGTAAAATACTTCATGGTTTAACTTTGAACCTTGGACCCTGACCTACAGCAAAATCATTTTCTGTAGTATGAAGATACACACAGCCCAGGAAAAATGTAGGAAGCATAAAGACAAATGCTTCCCTTTAAAAGCTTGGCTACGAGGGGAACAGATTTCTACTCCTATGGCATGGGGACCAATCTGGAATAGGCTGATGAAGAGATTCATTGAAGGGCAAAGCAGCTAAGCTTGACCATCTGTTTTCTTGGAGGTCATGTCAGCATGAAAATGCAGAGATGCAAATTTAGAGAAGGCAACACCACTACAAAAAAAAATCTGCTTTATTTAATCTCCAATTTACAGCAGCATAATTATGACTCCACAAAACAGTTTGAATAGAACAAACATTATACTTAAAAGCTCGATGTTGGTTAATTGGGCTTACAAACAGTGCGCTGCAGTGGGCAGGTCAGTCTATAATTGCCTACTGGATTGCTAGATTTTTCCCTAAAGGAGCGGATACTGACTTTGCTGTGAGATTAGCCTTCAGCTCTAGTAAGCCAAATTCATACGTTTGATAACATTTATCAATAGCCTACAACTTCTGCTTGGATTTCTATATGGGAAAGAAGTAAGTGCGCAAAAGTCAAAATTATATCACACCTGCAGAGACAGTATCTAAAAGCAGATATGAGAACATATCTCTGAGAAAGGAGATGGATGTGGATGAGCCACCGTAAAAATCATCATCATCTTCATCATCTTGAAATAATTTGCCCCTGGAAAAGCAACAAATTTCAGTATCCAGAATATTGTTAGTTTCTTAGTATTGTGTATTTGCCACTTTTGCTGTGTATGGCATTTTCACTTTTATCCCAGAAAGATCATGGTGATCTTTTTATTTTTATTTTTTAAAAAATGGTTGCATGCATTAGACCTGCTGATTTCAAACAGCAAATGACCCTGGGCTGAATTTGAATAAGTGTTTTGAAACCACTGAGCATCTATCTCAAAAGATCCAATTCAGTGTCAAAATGACCTCTTAGAAAGAGAGCATGTGTGAATGCTAAGCAGAATTCCATGTTGCTGTCTTGTGTGCATCGTCACATCATGCTGATCTCTGCTGCTGAACCATGTCTGCAAACGTTTCTTAATGTGGGTTAGTGATGGGGTGCTGAAAACAGGATTCAGGAAATGGCAGTGAGTGCATGTTATTGACTCAGCATGTCCTGGGTAGGGCTAGGAGTGAAGATGAGTATGTATCCCACGGCTACTGTGCCCCTATGTGGCTATGAGAACATGGTCTAAAAATACTCAGCAGAACCCCCTAAGCATTCAAATGCTTTGACATGTGAGAGAAAAATCTCCCTAGAAGCTGCATTTTTAAAGTGGAAAAAATAGCAAGAAGGGAAATGGTTAAGCAGCCTCTGCCCCATCTTTCTCCCACTCTCAAATGTTGCCACTGAGTCTGCTGTAAACAAGAACCCCAACCCAACTGTTCAGAACATTTAAGTTGGCCCTAAGAAGGCTCTTGATGGCCTTCCTTGTCTCTTTGCTGCAGCACTGAAGAGAACTCTATTAAATGAGTGTGTTTGTCAAGAGAGGTCAGTTGCGTTATTCATTTGGCTTAATTTGTCAACATAATGTTTCCTCCAGCCCTTAGCCTTGTAACAACCAAAGCAAAATGAGCAGTTCGGTTAGCTTGTATTTTAAAGGCTGGTTTAAAGATACTAATCGGCTTGTTAATGATTTGAATCCTCAAGCCTCATGAGGTTTTACTGGGTGCATTTCCAACTAGGTCAGCTTTGCTTCCATGCTAGTGCACTGCCAAACTGGCAGTCAGGAAATAATAATAAAAAAGCACTTTTCCACAATTGACCTGAGGGGGCATTTTATGAAGATTTATGGTGGTGTATCTACTGTTTGAGAACAAAATGCAACATATTTTCATATACTGTATTCTTTCTTTCTTTTTTAAGTACATTCTATTCTGAAAATGTATGGTGTTATTTGGAAATACTACAGCGGGTAGTAACCACAGATTTCTGGGACCAAAATAATATTTATCCTTTTACCGCAGGATTTCCCAAACTTGGGTCTCTGGCTGTTTTTGGACTACAACTCCCATCATCCCTAGCTAGCAGGACCAGTGGTCAGGGATGATCGGAATTGTAGTCCAAAAACAGCTGGAGACCCAAGATTGGGAATCATTGTTTTCCTGCATGGGACAAGGATGGAGAACTGTGGCCTTCTAGATTTTGATGGCTCTCCCGATCACAGACCATGCTTGCCAGGACTGAAGGTATGTGGAATCCAGCAACATATGGAGGCATACCAGTTTTCCATCCCAAACATAGGACCCACAAAGATAGACTTGTCTGCTTCTTGATGTGTAGTTCCTTTTCTGCTTTCTGGACAGATGTGTTTAGAATAACCCATACACTCTACAGCAAGCTCAAATGAGGCTCCTGTAACTCCTTTAGAAAATGATAGAAATAATTTACAAATATTCTGTATATACTTACTGTTGTTATTCAACATAGTGACTGCTTAGCAAGGTGTGCTAGAATGGGCAAGTGACGGGTTTGCAATTGGCTGGGCTAATTGCAAGAATGTTAGGAAGGCTAAAGAGATTATCCAAAGGGCACGACATGTTAAATTAAGCAAAGTCAATCACTCTCCCCTGTTCCTCTCTCCCTCTCTCTGACTCAACTGACACAACTAGCCCAGCCTTTTCACTTTCTTCTCAAATATACGGAAGACAAATCAGTTTTCTTTTTAAAGCTGAGAAATAATAGTTTCAATATGTGTGTTTTAACGTGCATTTCCCCTTCTGATATGTACTTTTTTCAAATGACAGGACTTCTGCCATGAAGTTACAGAATATTGTTGTCCTTTAAAAAAAAAAAAAAAAAAAGCTTATTTTCCGGAAAACTGGGAGAGGGTATTTTGCAAATCTTTCTTAGATTTTCGAATACAACAGTTTGACTGACAGTGTGCATGATTTGCTGGAATCAGCTGGCTCTAAAATGCTTTTGTGGATTGTGAATATTAGCTTCTTCCAGTGCAATGAATTAGGTAGATTACAGATGGAAAAACCAATATACATATAAGGGATTAGCCTCACTTCACACTGGAGGTACTTATAGTCATGAGGAGGGCCCGCAAATCTTTGTACTTAACTCTGTTCTCTGATTGCTAGCTAATGCATCTTCATTCCATTGTCATTCTGAAATTCTTGAAAGGGAGGAATGGCAACATTAATTTTCTTTCTTTTTGAGTAACATTTATTGGTTTTCATTGGAATAATAACTTTTCCATGGAGACCAGTACTGTATATTGAGAAGAATCTGAATGCATGCATATTGCTATCAAGCTCTATTTATGTGTGGGTGGGTGGGGAATATCTGTGTGCATTCATAGCCTTGAAGAGCATGGGGTAGCTACGAAGGTAAATTTACATTGAACCCTCTCACAATGCCTTTTACCATCACACTGTTAGAATGGTTGTGGTACTTACTAAACAACAAGATTAAAAAGGCAATTATGCACCTGCAGTTACCTTCTATGATTAAAAAGATAAGAGGGTTGGGGAGAGCTTAATAGGGGTGTGATATGCCCATATGCTAATTTTGTGGCTTGAAACATGCAAATAGGTTGTAGAACAGTTGTTTGCCCCTGCTACGTTGCATTCCAAGGGCACATGTGCATTGGTGGCTTTCTAAACTTTTCAGTGCAATACAGTACATGTTCACTCACATCTGAGTATTCAGCTGGATATTAACCATGATGGCTATGTTCCACTGTCAGCGGCAGTATGTCTCTGAATAGCAGTTATGGGGACTTGAAGATGGGCAAAGTACTGTTGTTCCTGCTTGCAAGCTTCCCACAGGCATCTGATTGGCCACTGAAGAACAGGGTGCTGGTTGAGGTGAGCCATTGGCCCAATCTAGCAAGTTCTTCTTATAGTCTTATGTAATGGGACTTGCTCCCAGATAAGTGCATGTTGAAAAGCTGTTGTGCACTTCCTTGAATTGTGTGGGAGCTGGATTTGTTCTGCTTATGAGACATAGTTTAGTTCCTCCTGGATGATCAGAGTATGAGTAACTCTCATTAGTTGGCATCTTTCCTTTTACATGGTTTTGTGCCAGCTCACTGTCATTTATATTCAGTCACAGAGGAAGAAATTCTTCTTTGTTTATCTGCTCTGGCTTCAGGCGAAAGAAGCTCTTACCTCTTCAACATTTATTTTTCTTCTGTTGTTCGGTCTCTGAAGATCAAATATGTGAAGTGCTTTGAACAAGAATTCCATGTGTAAAGCAAAAGAACCAATTTTTAACAAATTCGTAAAGTAAAAATAAAAAAGTCCTAAACAAAGAGGTGAGGAGGGTAAATCCTTCATGATGCTGATTGTTGCTGGCATTCTCAGAATGCGGCACATTGATGTTTTGATTTGTACACTGTATGGGCATCCAGGTGGATTCAATGCCACTAACAAGGTAATCCATTTAAGACCTTCATCTCATTTGCAGCTCAAACTGGGCATGGCAGGAGACATGTTTTTGAAGAGTCTGCTTGCGAGAACACATTAGGTGGATTCCAACCCCTAGCAAATGGCATATGTCTGATAACTCTTTGCAAATAAGGAACCCTTTTTTGTAAACTTTACTGTTTGGTGGTTTGTTTGTTTTTTAAAGGAAACAACTGGTGAAATTAAAAATAAATAAAATATCATGTTAGTTACAATGACTATGTTCCAAGAACAAACTCTGGCTACAGATCATGTTTCCTTTCATCCCTCTGTGAGCCAGGAGGAGCAAAGTGAGTACAGTTTTGCACATGCACAGTAAGATATGATTTATGCCTTTCCATGACATGCTGAAGCAGCCTAGAAGTGTCATCATACCAGCATGTGCTCTTTAGTGTTTAGCATACGATGTACCTTTAACAAGAAGATATTTCTTAAGATAACAAGACAACGGTGATACATTATGTATCAGTGTTCAACGCAGCAGGCTAAGTAATCCAGAGGGAAAAGCTAATGGTAAACTGACTGCTTGCTACTCCCTATCTCTGACTTGTTTGCAGGTACCTGTCGCTGGAAGACTGTCCAGTGTAAGACTAGTCCAATATTAGCACATGGAATGTGCAGTTAAAGCCTTTGATCTGAAAACATCTAGGAAGCATTTCTCTCACCTAACACAATCGCATAGCAGACATAGGATGTCGCCTTCTTAGGCCAGGGTAGGCTACAGTGTCAGAGGATAAACCATCACAGGAATGAATGGCTTCATCTGGAGCACCTTATTTGGGTGTGTTGGGTGTATACACTGTGGGGAAGTTCAGTCAAGCAATTAAGCTCACCCCAGAAAACAGCTGTTTAGCAGAGTTGTCTTTACTAGGTCAACACCAACATACACTACTATACATACACACACAAAGGTAAAGGACCCCTGGACAGTTAAGTCCAGTCAAAGGTGACTATGGGGTTGCGGCACTCATGTTATAAGTAGTCTTCTCTCTCTGAACCTAGAGAGGGCTCTCTGTTTCAAAGTGTTTGCTGCGTTAAAGTCCATAGCCAAGTCTTTAGTTCAGTTGCCTTGAAAGTCCTGCAACTGGTGGAATTCTCTCAAGTTCTGAAGTCTAGCAGTTTTCCAACTTCCTCCTCAGAAAATCTCTTGAAAAAGTCCTCACTCAAATCCACAGTTCCAGCAGAGAGCCATCAACAATTCCTGCAATCTCCCACCAGGACCCACACAGTATGCTGTAACCTGAGCTCCTTTATATACAAAGTGACTTACCAAGTAACACAGATAAGAGAGTAGCAAGATGCCTGCAGAAGCATTGTGGGGAACGAGTTGTCTCTGCTGACTTGAGGAGAATTAACCCATTAACTGCATTCCTAAAGACACTTTTGTATTAGAAAAAATGACATTTGAATACAGTGGTACCTCAGGTTACAAACTTAATTCGTTCTGGAGGTCCGTTCTTAAACTGAAACTGTTCTTAACCTGAGGTACCACTTTAGCTAATGGGGCTTCCCGCTGCTGCCGCAGCTTCTCATCCTGAAGCAAAGTTCTTAACCCAAGGTACTATTTCTGGGTTAGCAGAGTCTGTAACCTGAAGCGTCTGTAACCCGAGGTACCACTGTAATGGGTTATTGCTTGTCAGCTTCTAATATTTCTGTATGACCATTTCTCTTTAGACAAGGTCCTATCTGGGGATATCAGTAACTTTTACAGAAAATAGTGTCTTGGTAGTGAAACATGAAGTTCAAGGTTTTGTTAAATTCTGAGTTGGTAAATGCTGAATTGGTGGATGGTAAATGTGTGTGTGAATCCTGACATTGCAAGCTGGAAACATCTGTTTTTCTCCTTTGTGTGCATGGTTCTTCTTCCAAGGAATCTACACAAAAGTCTGGTCACCTGCTTATCTCCTTAGGCAGCCTCCACCAATCTGGTGCCCTTAGTTGTCCTGACTGGGGCTGATGAGAGTTGTAGTCCCAAACAACTAGAGGACAGCAGATTGACAAAGGCTTTCCTTTCATGACCCATGGATGACATTTGCTCATCACCAAATATTGGGTGGGGAGACGGAGGTGGAAAACATCTAACATTGGAGCTTCTGTTTCTCCAAATCCTGGCTTCCAGAACGCAACTACAAAAACAAACACCACAACTAAGGGCTAGTTCAGCATGTAAAATTCCTCCACTGCGGATATGTGCAGCTGTTCTATATGATGGGGTTTTTTTTTAATTCTTGAATTGTTAGTAACATTTCTATGTTTTTGTAATGCTGCAAAACAGTGACTGTTACTGTTTTGATTTTAATTAACTGCCTTAGGCATTTTGGTATAGAAAGGAAGAATATAAATCTTTTGAATTGAATAACATGTGAAGAGAGATGCCATGTCAGTGACTGCAACTGTTCCCTCCCCCCCAACAATCCTGATCAGAGGTGAGCCTGGCTGGCGGTATTCCATTTCTGTTGAACCAAACTCATCCTAGCAGTAGCTCCATCTGGTCTTATAACCCCATTTACAGCTGTGTGTAGTGATTTAGAAGTGTTAACAAGTAGCCCTAAGTGATTTTCCCAGTGTTAAAAATGAGCAATACAAGAATGGAATCCAGTTTTCCAGAATCTGCTTCAGCGAAGAGCATTTGGCAAACCCCAAGTTGTAGGACTAAAATGATGTTGTCTTTCTTCTCTGTAGGGTCACATGATTCCTTCAGCTACTGGGTTGATGAGAAATCTCCTGTGGGACCAGATCAAGCCACAGCGATCAAGCGGTTGGCTAAAATCTCTTTGGTGAGGAAGGTCATGAAGAAATGGTCAGTGACACAAAACCTAACGTTCAAGGAGCAGCTTGAAGGTGGAATCCGCTACTTTGACCTCCGTGTATCTTCCAAACCAGGCGAAGCAGGTCAAGAAATCTACTTCATACATGGTTTGTTCGGAATCAAAGTATGGGATGGGCTGATGGAGATCAACACCTTCCTAGAACACCACCCTAAGGAAGTGATCTTCCTGGATTTCAACCATTTCTACGCTATGGATAACAACCACCATGCATACCTGATCAGTAGGATCCAAGAGGTTTTTGGATCAAGACTCTGCCCAAAGGAGTGTGTGGAAAACGTGACATTACAAAACCTCTGGGAAAAGCAGCAGCAGGTAGGAAAGCGTTTCTCATTTAGCAACAAATTTCTATAATTCAAAGAACTCTTAGAATTGAAAGTGTCTTGCTTGAACCTGGAATGGGGAGGCAAGCATGGAGTGCACCTTTCTTGCTCTGAGCTGGAGAAAGGAGCAGAGGATTTCCCTTTGAGTTCATCCTGCATTTCAGAAGCATAGCATAATACCTTGTCCCTTTGCGAACAGAACTCTAGTTGGTCAGTAAGGCAAGCCCCAGTTTGATTCCTGTCTATAACATTCATTAACTGTGTGTTCAGTACTGTTAGGATTACTTTTGGGCTGCAATCTTTCATAGCTATTGTTCCCTATTAGACCCTCACCCCCTTTAAAGACTGCTATGGGGCCTGGATGAAACTAAAACATATCTCATGGTATGGCAACTGAAATGCTGTTCTTTAAAGTAGGGCTGGGAAGCCGGTAGTTCCTTCAGCCACAGCCAGCATAGTTAGTATGCAGGAATGTTGGGTTTTTGGAGTCCACAGTGTCCATCTGGAGGGCCACAGACTCCCCATTCCTGCTCTGAAGCACCTGGTATCCCACCACCTTCCAGATCCCCAACCCATCATGATCTGGCTACCCTACTGTCCTCTGCATCTGTATACCAATTGCTAGAAATCGCAAGTGGGGAGAATGCTGTTAGGCTTCCCATAGGCATCTGGTTGACCATTGTGTGAAGAGGTGGGCTAGATGGACATGTGTTCTAGTACAGCAGGGCTATTGTGCTTTCCTTAGTCACTGCCTTTCCTATGAACAAGTGTCTGATGCAGTTACCCCAGGCTTTCTCTTCTCCTGAGCTACTGTGGCCTTCAGTCTCTTTCGTTTATTAGTTGTGGTGACAGCCCTGCTTCTGCTTGCCCTTCTCAACTTATCATGTTCTGTTGGTCCTGTGGATTGCTGCAGACATGGTCACCTGTACCTACCCCACCCCTTCCAGAGCATCAGTGCAGCAACCCCCTGAAACTGTCTTTCTTGATTTTCAGTTCCTTTTTTCTCAGTTACCAATCAGGCTGACAGCACAGCAGTCAGTGCTAAAGGAGCTCCTCCTGGTGGCGTATATGAGTATAGCGGGGTTGGGGGTTAGTGCTACTAAAGGTGCAGTCCTAAAACACACATGAGAAAGTATGTCTCATGGAATTTGTAGGGACTTGTTTCTCAACAAATGATCTATGTTGTGCCGCATAGAACTACGGCAACAACAACAACAAATCATTGCAAATCCTCTTCTTTCTGCATGTTATGTTACAGTATACGTATTATATACTGTTTGGCACAAAGCAGTGAATGGAATAGTAATACAAAAAAAGACTACAGTAAATACAGCATACCAATCAAAACACTATGAAAAATCATCAGTCACACTGGATATACATTGGTTAGCTGCATTCATGCACTTACCACAGATGCAGCCAACATTTCTGTTCTCACTTAGAAGCCAAGGTACCACACACACACACACACACACACACACAGTCTCTCACCTATGAGCAAGAACATCCACAATCACCCAGGGGAAGCATCCTCACCTCCTCACAGCCCAAAGATGAAATCCAAAAAGCAGACTGAGCAATAGTTGCATTCTTATGGTCACCTTGTGAAGTGAGTCTTGAACTCCTCAGCTCCTGCTTTTAACCTTTGTGTAATCCCTATTTGTGGCAAATATTGACACCAATAATACTGTCGTCCTGCTTGCCCAATGTATAGAAAGCAACATTTTGTGTGAAATTATTTTTTAGCGCTGAATGTAAGTGAAAGAAGAGCTTGTTCTGATATGTTCTCTCTCAATTTCCCAGGTTCTCATTTTCTACCATCATTGTCTCTATGAACAATATCCCTTTCTGTGGCCCGGGAATAAAATCCCCGCACCATGGGCAAATACGACCAATGTACATAAACTGCTGCAGTTCTTGGACACTACTCGTGGGGAACGAGCAAAACAAGGAACTTTTCATGTTTCTCAAGCTATTCTTACACCAAGGGTCAAAACCATTGCACGGAATCTCATCCGTGGCCTGAAAAACACACTTGTTCACAAGTAAGTGCATGTTTTAGCTTCCTTTGGAAACCTTGTTAACCTGTGCTTGCAATCCTAAACCCAGGTACCTAGGAGTAAGCCTCACTGAATTCAATAAGACTTACTTCTGAGTAGATATGGTAGCCTTGTCCTTCTTACTTGAAATGCATATAAACATAATCAAGAGTCCTCTCCCAAACCTTCAGCCTACAGAAGATGGATGATAGAAAGAATAAATTGACTCCACTTATTAATTTACTCAGGGTGCAATCCTGTTCACACTTAACTGGAAGTAGGTTTGGGTGAATCTGCCAATTTCATTTTTTCTGTTTTTCATTTTTTTCCCCAGTTTTAAATTCAGTTTTCCGCATTTCCATATCAGCTTGCAATTTTTAAAAAGTCTTTATGACAGTTCATCAGCATTTTAGTTCAATTTCTCCTCAGATAGGCACATGTTGCATGCTTTTGCAAAATTCAGAACAGTGCAAATTTCAAAGGATGGCAAACTTTAATTAAACTGCAGCCGTTTTGCTCGGAGTTTGAATCAGATCAAATGTTTTCACTAAGAAGGCAAAAATCCATTCCCACACACACACACACACACATACACTGATGGTGCCATGGGTACCAATTCTGTGCTCAAAACTTTATTCCATTTTACTGAAATAAGTAGGCTTGCTTATTTCTGTTGATGAGATTAGAAACTGTAGTCAATACTGTTGCACGTTGCTGCCACCCACTGACCACAGTAAGTAATTGAGCCCATTTCTCCTCACTATATTACATATCCATGCATTTAACATATTAGTAAGTAGTGATGGCTTTCATTTCATTTCTTGGTTAACTGATCAAATTTAAAATAGCCATGTAATAATTTAATTACTTTCAGAATGCTCTCTGAATGAAATGATAAAGCACTGCATTCATTGAAATGAATATTTTTAAATGCAGGGGAACTTTTAATTCAACACAGCTATCAATCTATTAAAGCTACAGTAGCATGGTGTGCTAGTATAGCAACTAGCAATACTGGCTGCAAGTGGAAAATGCATACTTTTAACAGTAAAATCATATATGGGGTTAGGATGTCACTGACGTATCTTCATCTCTGACACATTTCTTATACATTGCCTCCAGACTGTCACTATTTTGTGAGAGGGACCCAAGCACTTGCAGGAAATTTAGGTTTGTGCTGTTAAAATGGGTTAAATCATTCTGTCACCCTAGTATAATCCACTTTAAGGGGGGTCTTTTGCAGTTGATAGGGTGTTGAGAAAAGTGTGAGAAAGCATTGAAAAGTGTGGGATGAATGATGAACAGGAAGATGTTTGAATACCCCACAAACAAATCAGAATGAATGGTTAATAAGGATAGAATATAGTCTAACCTCCACATGAGCTACATACAAGCAAATCATGATTCATTCTCAACAAACAAGCTCTGTGGAGGAGCTCATATCCACAACTTGTCAATGCCACTTTTCCAAAGTAGTTGTATCTGCAGTAATAAGACACTAGATGGTGCTAAAGTGCTTTTTTCCCCTTCTCGGGAACAAATGTATTTGATTAAGAACTTTTGTGCATTTAGTCCCCTTACTCAAACGTTTAATAGCAAAAATGTAAAAAGAATGGATTACCATCAGCATGCCAATTCAGAAATGATACAAATACCCCAAAATACCTAGTATAAATTGCGTGGTATTTGTTCAACCAAATATTATGGGTCATTGAAATCAAGTAGCTTCATTCCATTGACAGGACTAACACATTGTCCTGTCTAACACAGTGACTAACACTTTTGCTTAGCTTTTCCTTCTGTAATTCCTCATTGCCACCCAGCTAAGCAGTGCCAGATTACTGAATAGGCAGGGTAGGCCCCAGCCTATGGGCCCCATGCCTTTTAGGGGTCCTGCAACAACGGACCAAAATAGTATTGATTTGATCTTGAAGGAAAAGTACAATCAAACTTTATTAGTTCAATGCTATCCCACTAGAGCACATGTGATGGGGGAGAGCCAAGATTTCTACTGCATAGGAGCCTCTGCAGGGTTTGATCCAGCATTGCAACTAAGCCATTGCTGAAAATTTCTGGATGTAAAGGTGACTACAAATGCAAGCCAAATGTGTACATATTGGCCCAGGTAGTCTTTTGCTAGCATGGAAGGAGGCTTCTATGAAAAAGAGTGGGATGAAATTACTGCAAAACCTGGTAATACATAAAGATGTTATTAACAGTTTTAATAGAGAATTTCCTTTCAGTACAATACCTTCCACTGTTAAAACCAATACATCATATTTTATAAGCAATTCAAACAAAAAAATTAACTTCCACATTACATTTATAAAGACTTACTAACTGTACCAGATAATCTCAACTTTTAAACTTGCAGCTTTCCTGGGAAATTTGTCATGGCATATGTTTACTGCCAAAATGCAGTTTTTCGTTTCATGCAGATAGAGTTTTGAAAGAATAACACACAGCAATATTAATTTTTAAGGGAAGCTTGGGTGAAAAACTGCTCAGCATACACATGGGGGCTCCCTAAGAATGTGTGAACATATGCCTGCCACCTCCATGCACACTCATTGCATATATTTTGAGTGCCAGAACAAGGCCGTTGTGATTTACAGAGGTTTCCTTTAGACCTTGAAAAGGAATCCTGTACTCGGGCACTGATACATTCACCCTAGTATCTTAGCTAGAATGTAAAAATGTTGCTCAACGTTGTTCCTCTCTTTTGCATATATAGATAGATAACCTCTAAGCAGTTTAGATAAAAACAATAACAATACAGCAACTTTCAATAACATTTCCAAAACACAAGGAAACACAACCCAATTGTATATCACAAACAAAGCCAAGCAGGGTACAAAACAACAAAATAAAAATGAAGAGTCAGAGTCTAGGATAGGTTGGGTAAACATAAGGTTTTAAGAAGTGCTTAAAGGTCAGTACTCGCTTTGCCTCACAAATTACCCAAGGTGGGGGGCATTTCAGATGCCAGGTGATTTCATCTGTTTCTGTATTGTCACCAGGTGACATCCTGCTAATCAAAAGATCTTAAAGATTGGCTTGGTCTGTACAAGGGGAGATGGTGTGCTAGGTACCTGATTCCAATTTGTTTAGAGCCTTAAGTTCACGGCTTTGTAATTGACATTTAGCTTGGTAATAAATAGGCAGCAGTACAGATCTTTCAATGCTGGTAACAAAGTACGCTGCCAGTTTCATTCTGCACTAGCTGCAGCCTCTAAACCAGATACAAGGATAGCTCCAACAAGCTGGAAAACATTTCCTTGTTTATTTCCTTCTCACACACCTTGTAGCGTTGTTCCCGAGCCAATCAGAATTTTGATTTTAATGGGTGAGAGATTATCAGATGTGGCTTGCTCCACTGATAACTTCACCTATGAGCTTCTGCTGCATCTCATATTGGGTGAGTTGCTGCCACCCCTGTTTCTCAAAGAGACAGTTCCTTATTGGCATAGTGGTTTGAATCCAAAGCCTTCCACTCATGAAAAGTTCCTCCATTCATGAAACAGGGCTTAGATGCAAAGGAGGCTTACATTAATAGAAGTACAGAAAGGACCATTTTTGCCAAAACCCCTTGCAGGCCCCTGGTCTGGAGAGCCCCCATCCCCAACTCCATAGCAGATGGGGGCATAGTGAGCTGCAGGAGGAAGGGGGTGAGACCTGAGTGCTCCCCTTTCTGTGAGTTGAGCTCCACTCACAGAACTCTGGATTCAAGACAATGCAGTTTGGGAGAACGCTGTATTTGTATGCAGTGCCAGCATGTTGATTATATACAGGATGCAATGTGCCTCATGCACACGACGAAGGATCATGTTACATTTTCCTTTCTTTTCCCTTTAGGAACCTCCCTTCGATTCTGGACTGGGTGAAGCTGCAGAAACCAGGCGTCATGGGCGTTAACATAATTACATCAGATTTTGTGGAGCTAGTTGACTTTGCAGCTACCGTAATTGCATTGAATGAGCTTCTCCTAGAAGACAATGAATCCTGACAATGGGAGAAGTTTTAATGTGGGAATGTTGTCCAGTCATATCAAGAATTTTCTTTCAAGCTCTCTCTCCACCTATGGGTTTTGCTGTTTCACACAATGCCAAGGCACAAGGCCACGGGTTGATTGGACTGCACAGTCCTCAACAGCACGGTTTCCTTCGTCCCTGTGCTGCATGTATGGCTGCTCTCCCTACATCTGCTGAAATACAGAAAATGTGCCGGCTGGACACTTCAACATCTGTAAATCATTAGCAGGAGCCTCTCTCTAGACTTGTTGAGTGTGTGCATCCTGCATGTTATGAAACCCAGGAGCCCAACTCTAAAGATAATTATTGAACTCTAAGTACACATTTACCAGACTAGCCAAAAGATTTTGTTCTTGTTGACAAAAGTCAGGCATGTGCCCTGCTTTCTTCCTTTCAATTGTACTGTATATTAAACTACCTCAGTCACTAAAATACAAAGCACAAACAGCATCTCAATTGCTAACAGTGACCTTTTTGTAGATACATGTATTTGTACATGTACCATGTATGAGTTTTTAAGAGTTTATTGTGAGGTATAAATGAAGTTTTTAAACCTCTTTCTTTCTTTTTTTACTTGAACTCTCATTTTAATCTATTTAGAAAATTTGGTAAGTTAAAACTATTAGAGCAGAAAGATGGGCATTTTAAAATACAATGATATTTATTTTGTAGCAATTGAAATATCTATGGTGGTATGAAGTACAACGGGAACGTAGTAAGTTTGTGGATTTTGTAGGAAATGTTTCCCGGATTGTGTACCACAATCTGGTGGGTGGTGAAAAAAGATATTATGTATCTCTCAGCAAGTCACTGCTCTGACCTTGCCTTCCCCAATTAGCCACCTTCTGAGGGAAGTTAATTCTGCTGTGAGTTTTGCACCAGCTGTAACAGAATATTTCAAATACTCCCCTATGCAGAGTTGGAACAAATTTGCTACCATTAGGGGAGTCTGTTACATCTTTGCATGAATTGCTCCATTGCCCTGGCCTCCTTCCAGTCAGAAGATGAACCCAGATCAGAAGGTGAAGATGGGTAATCTTTGCTCTTACATGCTCTGAAAGTACCCCTTTTTGGGTGTTAGCATTTTTAAAGTGTAGTTTAGTCATCAGAAGTTTGGAAAAAACCAAGTGAGTGCTCATGGACATTTCCTACAGAATCCATATGAGTTTTGCATTCCAACATAATGTGTGTGCAGTTTGGTGGTGGAAGACTAAGATCAAAACTACTTTTATGTTGTCAGAAGTTTGCTTATTTTATTGTTTGTCTCCAAGACAGTATGCAAAAAACTATATAAGAGGAAGGCTAGGATTTCTATGAGCCTCAGGTGGGTCAATGTCACCCTTCCAATATTTGACCCAAAGGTTTGCTGGTGCTGCTACCTCTGCTGCTTTTGTAATCCAATATCTAACATGTAGCAGCTTAATTTATTTTAAGTTTCACATATGCACAATATGTGATTAGTGTCTCTTTTTGAAGTTTGTGCTGATGGGGGAAAGCATTTATGTTGACTTTGATAACTTCCTGTTTGGAAGTTCTTCCCTTGGCATTCATAAGGGTTAGATTTATCCACTGTTATTATATAATTTTAATGGACCTTCAGGGAAAAGCAGATTTGCTGAAAGGAATTTCGGCTTCAGATCTCAGGCTTGCAATGATTGCAAATGATGCCCAAAAAAATCCAGGTTTCAAATCTGGTGGTTTGAGTTTTCTTTTATGTCCATTCCTCATGCTAGGAACCATTTCAACCTGTCTGAATTAGTTTGAACAGGAAATGAAAGCATTATTTTCCTGCCTTTCTAAAGGGCTTTCACAGGTGTATACAGAGCTTGAGTTTTTGTTCATTTTATGAACCTACTTTGAGATGGAATCACTGGGCTTAATAGTTAGGTTGATATGTGGTTGTGTTTTCTTCCTTTCTTCATCTCGGCTTATATTTATTTGTACATAATAGTTTGATATAACAAAATGTGGTTGTTGAGCATACAGTGTAGCAATGAAAACTGGCATGAGGGATTTCCTCTGAAACTGAAGCATTTGCACAGCAGTACTTTGAAGGTATTTGATGGTTTTGTCACCAGTAAAGAGAAAACGATGGTCAGGGACAAGTGCTTAAGATTTTGAGGTGTGTTCCTAATGAGATCTCCATTATCATATGGAGGGGACATACTTGTTGCAAGTCTCAGGGTGAAAGACAAGTTCAGACAAGTTCACCCTTTGAACAGACAATCCACACCTGAACTTGTTTATACCATTCAAGAAGTGAATCAGTGATTGGAAGAGTCAAACACTGATTTGCTTAGAATATCTGACTATATGATCTCACCTTTCAGTAAAAATGAAGTGACCTGTGAACGAATCACAGTGGTGTGACTGAAACTGCCTGGAATTTCCTATTTGTGTAGACAGAGGCAGTTGCTGAGAAAAGACTTGATAATGACCTCTGATTCTCAATCATGTATATGGATACTTTGATGTGGGGTTGAAATAGACATGTATACAGTTGGGTTTGATAGCTGCCTGTTATTAAGATGGCGAGTTTGTTCTATTTATTTTGTATTTATTTGAGTTTGTTTTCGGTCCTACCATGCAAGTTTCAGAGCAAAAGTATAATTTAAAGCAAATGAAGATATAAGAAAGGTATATTTTGATATCTTTGATATGGCCAGTTGAACTCTGTCAGAGCACCATATGTTAATGCCAGAAGCTTCTCAGTGTGGGGCCTCATTAAACTTTTTCACATGATAAAGTCACCACATGGTGATTTTTGTGATGTTTTGTTTGCATGATCAATATTTCATTTGGTTGCTTCCTCAGTGTTTGGTGAGAGGTGGTTCTCTCTGTCCTGGTTCACATGCAGTGTTGAAACATAGTTTAAGATGGTGCTTTTAATGTACATGAGCAATTTGATGCTCCTCCACTTCTGTGTTGCACAGCAGGAAGCAAAGCAGAATCTGGTGTTAGTTTGAACCTGGGAAAACAAGCCAGACTCTGCCTTGTTTCCTCTCCCAGACAGCAGCAGGGAAGGAACAAAGTACTTGCATACATTTAAAGCTACCATTTACTTTAAAATATGGTTTGATGTTGTGGTCAAATGCAGTCCCTGTGCAAGTTGGTTTTAATTGGGTTAAAGTTAGACCTGGCATGCTAAATATCATGCCTCAGTCCATGAAGGTGAGTTGCTACATGGAAATCTGCACTTGGACTGTATTGGTTTTCTTGAGAAAGGGGTTATATAGCTTGAACAGTTACTGTGAATTTCATTTGCTGTCCTTTTCATTTGAGCTTGGTGTATAATAAAACAAGTCCTTTGGTGATCAGAAGCATAGCAACTAGACATAAAACAGGAGGCTGCTTTCTGGTTTATGAAGGACCTAATCTATTTGATTCCTCTGGCTTAATAAGTGTCCCTTGAGCATAGTCTATCCTCTACTCCTTTTCGGAAAGAAATTTAAGGCTGATTTGCACATGCATGGTTGCTTGTACCACAATGGGACAAGTGCAGATTCCCACAACACAACTGTGTGAATTGGCTCTCTTTTGGAGGTGGGGAGGGTATATTGGCATGATTAAAACTCATCTGAACCTTAATGTGGGTTGCCAACAGCTTTTCAGAGGAAGCTGCACTCAGAGGAAACTTCCCTTTTCATAGGAAGTTTGCAGAACTAGGACCACTCATGTGGTTTGTAGTGTCTATCATTTGCCATTAGAGTCATGCAGAATACATTTAAGAGCAAAGGTATCAAAGACAGAAAATAAGGCCAAGTATGTCAATATTATTTCAATTCTTACAAACTTTAGGTTGGGATTTTATTGTGCAATTTAGTGGTTGTGCAGATGAGACCTTGTGGTATAAAGGGATTAGATTTTTTAAAAATGGTTATTTATTATTCTGTTAATTTATTCTGTAGGCTTCTGTAAATTATTGCATTTGGAATTGTTATGGGCCATATTATGTTGTGAATTGTTATGGACTGCATAAAATGTTGTTTTAATGAACCAGAATAAATGTTATACTTTGTCCAGTGCCTAGCACAGTAAGCCCTAGTACTTGGGGCAACTTGATGCATTCCTGCAGCCAACAGTATACAAGGGTGGTGGTGAGAGTTTGGTTGTCTCCATTAGCATGAATACGCTTATCACTATGGTTCTGGCTGACCAAAGCAATGGGTGACCAGACACTTAACAAAAGTGCTCAAACGGTCTTTCATGTTCTGTAACTCCTTTGCAGTCTTGGAAATGTGACAACCATCAAAGTTGCAGGGGTGAAACAGAGAAACATTTTTATTTTGAAGCAGACAGGCAGATCAGGTGGAAAAGAGCTATGGTTCAGCCAAAGGGAAAGCATATTTGTGTGCAGAATCTCTCTCTTTGGGAACCCAATACATGGTTAGGAAGTGTGCTGTCTGGTCTTGGAGTCTATTTGCTTCTACTATGCAATGCTGATATGAGAAAGACTCTGTAAGAATTTGTGCTCTATCAGGTTAAAATTTGACAGAAAACATGAGAGATTTTTGTTTTGATTTTCACAGTGTAACCCATGAAATATATCCTTATGGTCCATAAGCAATCTGCAGCTAATACTTTTTGCTACAAACAAAAGTGATAGAAGAATACAAAGGTCTATTAGGATGTCAAGTATTTATTATGACTATTTCCTATAAGTACCTGATATCTGACTTTATGTGAGCTACACTTTTTTGTGTCTGATGTCTTTCTTTAGTAGTCTCTGATTCTTTTCCTGAAAATATATACATTTCATTTTTCCCCCTCTCCAGAATGTTGACTGTTCCAAGTCGAATTGGTTCATTGTACCTTACGTTTTCTATTTCAAAACTCCTGGGTATTGTAAAGCCAGTATACCTCACTTTATTTCTGTACGTAAAATTTGGGGCTACATCTGTTTTTCACATTTACTTGCTGTTTTGTTTCTAATCGTGAAATTTCTAACTTTATATGTGTGTGCGCACCATGACTGGATACAATGGAATTATTCTGTTAATTGTTCAATTGTTGTGCAAAGCAATTACAGGAAATGTACAACTTTTCTTCCAACAACTTACAAATGCAGATAACAATAAACAGATGAATTCGCATTAGAAAGAAGTTTGTTGTATAGATTTCAAAGTTGTGTGCTATCTAATTCAGGAGTAGCTGACCTTTTTGACCTGGTGGGTGCATGTGCAGACCAGAGGAAACGTCATGGGCACCACAGACATTCCATAACACTCTCCATCCCAAGTGTAAACCCCACCCCCACCCCTTGCCCTTCATGAGACTATTAGACTTGGTAGGGAATGCCTTCTGTTGTCTAAGGGAGGCTTCTTTCAAGTGTGATTTCAGCAGAGGGAGGGGTAGGGGCAGTGGGACAGGACCCTGTGGGACCCAGGGATGGCTTCCGTGAGCACAAGACTGCCTGTGGTCAACAGCAGTGATCCCTGATGTTGTAGTTCATTGCCAAGGTTTATTACTGTTGCTTTCATCTAGAAGGTGCTACTTCACCTTCTTGTCTTTCAATCTGGGAAATTACTCGGCATTTGATTCTCTGTAGAACTTCATTTTGGCACTGTAAGGCAATGTTTCAGAAACTTGGCTGTTTTTAAACTACAGCTCCCATCATTCCTAGCCAGGAGGATCAGTGGTCAGGGATGATGGGAACTGTAGTCCCAAAACAGCTGGAGACCCATGTTTTGGAAACCTCGCTGTAAGGAATCCTTTGTAAAATTCCTTAATAAAAGCAGGTACATACAAGAGAGCATATTGGTCAGGTTTTTTGAGCAAGGGACAGAGGTGTTGTTCTTTCCTCTCAGACAATTCCCACTATAGAGTACTCCAGTGTAGTATAATGCAATAAGGAGCCCAGAACCAGATTGCTTATGTATTCTATTCTCCCCCAAATGGTTTGGTAGAAACAAAAACTGCCACGCTCCCATGATGACTTGCCGTTAGCTGTTGGAAAATGCTGAGGTTAGCTGTACCGTAATCAAACAAACCTGCTTCCAGGTTTGTTTGTTTGACCGGGCAGAACTGGTAAGGGGCAAAGTACACAAACAAAGAGTGTCACAAGGACCAGCCCTCCATGGACACATCCTGCCTTTGAAGAGAGCCACCAGGTGAAAAGGAAAGCATGACTTTAGCACTGCTATTAACCTTTCTGGTTATTCTGCATGAATGCACTGAGACATAGGTTTCAGCACCTTCAACAGTTCTGTAGAGGAGGACCTGCTGAAAATTTACCCTTCTGCAAAGCTATTAAATGTGCAGAGCCCTGCCCTATCTCTCTGATCAGGCAGAACACTCAGAAAGGTCAAAAGTAGTGCAAAAGTCATACTGCTTATGACTTTACACAGATCACTATGCAAAATTAAGAGTGGCTGCATTTTCAGCTTGGTGGATCCTTTACCAGTTTCCTTTACCAAATATTGCTGACCAATATTTCTGGTCATGTGGTCAAAGGGGTCTTGATTTGGATTTTGTCCCAGAAGCATGTCTTTGTCTAAATAGGCCTGCATTTATAGGCAGTTACCTTTGGGAAGCTAAGAAACTGTTATGGGAAAAACTGGTAAAGATTAGCCCTTCCCCAACAAAAGACTAAACACCCCACAATAAATAAAACAGACAAAAAAAGCAGGCCAACCCCTCCTAGCAACAACAGAAACCCACTCATTTTTAAAATTGTGAGGGCACCGTATGAGGATGGAAAATTGTGAGGGCACCACAACATTATATCTCTATCATTATTACTACTATTATTATTATTACTGAAAGTTATCCACTTTTTGTCAAGAGAAAGGCATTTAAGAAAAAGAGTTAAGCTTCATTACAGAGCAGCCCAAAGTACTTTGGTTTGTGCAGCAGCTCATTAATTTACCTTGTGGAAAGGCTTTCTGGCAATGTGATAAGCCTCCTGGTTGCTGCTTCAAGACAGCCACATTCCTGAGTGGCACATGGCAGAGAATTTGCCTCTTATGAAATACGCATCACAGAGCCCTTGGCTGGGGATGGAAAATGCTCTCTTAATGCCTTTTGAAGGAAAGCCAGCTGGGGCCGTGGAGTGTTTGCCAGCAGGTCTTGTTGCACATATTTTACTCTTCAGGTAAGCACCACATATGAAACCTGTAGAGTTAAGTAAATGTTGGTTACTAATTTAGCATTCCAGCCACATTCAGTTGGAAACAAGGTCAATCATTCACCTAAGGCGGGAGGTCTCTGTAAACTGGAAACAATCTGAAGTGCACTTGCCTTTGTTGGAGCTGGAAAAAAGGGTGTTCATCTTCTCAAACCAACATTTCAGATTAATCCACTAGATGAAATCCAAAGTACTGTTCAAAAAAGTAAGCAAACAAGTGGATTAAAATACTTGAACTAGAGTAGCCATATTATTACTACTATTTGCTATTTTAGTTTCATAAGAGAAGGTTTTACCTAATCCTTAGCAATAGCTATATTTGGATGCACTATTTGGAACAATTTAGGAGAATGTTCAGTATTTCTTAAGCCAGTCTAAATCGGAATTTGCAAACACATTGACTGGTTAGAGGGTACCTATGCGCTCCTTGTTTTGCTGCATGCCACATAGCTTCCTGTGGCTCCTTCCTATGTGAAATAAGCCACATTCCTAGAATTGTAGAGTTCGAAGGGACCACGAGGGTCATCTAGTCAACTGCCTGCAATGCAGGAATCTTTTGCCCAATGTGGGGCTTGAACCCACAACCATGAGATTGAGTCTGCTGTTCTACTGACTGCCCAGATGTGACCTATATGACTTTTATTGTATGCTGCACTGGTAATCTGTTTCAAAGGTGGGGTATTATACAAAATATTTATTTTACCCCCCAAAAAATAGCATGTTCAAATATTAAAATGAGAATTGGGTGTGTGTATTACCTAAAATTCCAAAGTTTAGTATTTCATTTTAGTGTATAAAATTGCACACATATGTGTGTGCTTCTTTAAAAGCTCCTTTTGGATACAGTGGCCTTATAAACTTGCTTCCAAGCATGTTGGGGCACAGTCCTCATAGGAACATCTCCTCTGCAAGCCAATTACAATGCACCACAGATACAGTCTTAACCCCGCTGCCTTTCCTTCCAATGAACCTTGCCAAGAAGAAGGAGGCTTCACGCACAGATCAGATACTTGCTTTTGCTTCATACTGTCTGGTTTTTTTCAGAAAATAATATTGTGAAATAGTATTGTTCAGTTATAGGTAAGGATGCTACATAATGGAAATTAGTCATTTAAAAAGCAGAGAGCTGGAGAACAAGCCCTAAGGGTACATTAGTACAACCTTGAATCAGAAGGTAAAATCCCAAGAAAAAACATGTAGATGACAAAGTATCACGTCAGACACTAACCTTGGCCATACACCAATGCCATCTCATTCAGGGCGCACCTTTGCTAGAATGAGACAGGAAGTGGGCAGGGTTGGTATACAAAGAAGTTGTCTGGTGCCAGGTCTGAAATGAGTCATGTGCTATCAGGAGATCTTGAGCCTGATTGCTAGGATCCAGGAACAGGAGGATTATTGCGTCCTTGATACCTGAAATGCCCTAAGGCTCTGATTCTGCATGCCATGTTAAAAATGTGTCTTTACATTTAACAAGTATGGTTTTTATGGTGTTGTTTTAATGCAAATAGCACCAGCTGGAGAAACTGATAATTGTTAAGATCACAGCAGGGGCAATTGAATCCTTCCTTGGGAAAATCCTTCCCATAAATCTCGAATTTGCATTGCTAGGAAACTCCTGACTGGTTTGGATCCCAGCAGCAATTAGTTCCCACTGAAATCACTGGGTCTTAAAGTCTCGATTCACCTTTTATACTGATTTCATTGGCACCCCTTGGGCTATATTCAATCCACTGGTGCCAGGAAAGAGTTAAATCCCCACTCCACAGCTGCTGTGATCCCAATAATGATGTGCACACCCACAGCTTGTGTGATTTGCGGTTTTAAAAAGCTACAAGTTAGACGCAGATTTAATATCACATCCAGGTTAGCTCTCAAGTATATACATTTAAATAGAAGTTAACTTCCACTGTCAGGAACAGGAATTTTAACCCCCCCCCCCATCTTACAATTTTCAACTAAATAAAGAGTGGCTAGACCTTGGTTTTGTAGTCTGACACTTTCTCAAGGCGTTATTATTGCAAAGTCTGATATAATCGCATTCCTTATTTTGAAAAAGGTATCCCATTCTTAATATTTTGAGGTCAGATGGTCACCACAGCATTCTTTTCCTTATTAGCTTGCCTCCTCTGAGGAAACTAGATTCTCGGTTGCAATTCTTTTAAATATAAAAATGTGGTTCAAAATGTGGAAAGCTCCCTTCTTAAAACAACTGTGCTTTTGTCTAAAACATTACAACAAAGCAACATTTTAGCTCAGGCTGGTGCGCTTGCTGATTAAGGCACATGTGATACAGTAAGCTAAAGCGGCTGGGGCCATGTGGGAGATTTCCAAAAAGAGGATGAACATCCTTTTGGAGAATTATGGATTGCTGGACTCTCCACAGATCCAAATCTAAGATGGAAAAGATTTCTTGTTTGGTTTGACAGGAAGGAGGGGGGGGAAATATAAGCTCCAAATTACAAGTCTCACAGCATCAGCTCAATTGTTCGTTTTGGTCAATCTTGCTCCCAGCACTTGATTAGTCATGGCTGCTACAGAGGTCAGGTGTAACAGCACTGTAACTGGGTACTCAAGTCCATCTCAACCACTTTTGCCTTTAACGGTCTAGTCACTGAACCATGAGCGCAATGGGAAACAAATTCTCCCAGTGCTGCTTACATGTCTGCTGCAGATAGTTCAACATGACCTCTCACGAGCCGCCATGCACTTGGTACCTAAACATGACTATGGGCTAAAAATCAGATAGTTGTTTATTTCCTTGACATCAGATGGGAGGGCGTTCCACAGGATGGGTGCCATTACCAAGAAGGCCCTCTACCTGGTTCCCTGTAACCTCACTTCTTGCAGTGAGGGAACCGCCAGAAGGCCCTCAGAGCTGGACCTCATGAATGATGGCTGAATGATGGGGGTGGAGATGCTTCTTCTGGTATACTGGGCCGAGGCTGTTTAGGGCTTTAAAGGTCAGC